TAACACAGAAAACTGACTTTTTTACCTTTATTTATTCTTGCAACCTAGGAAGATTTTTTTTTTTCATAAAATCCATGACTAATTCTCACAAAGCATTAAATTTGGAGAAAAAAATCTTATTAAGCCGAATTTCTATTTTCATTATTTAATTTTTTACATAGCTTTAAATTTAAAGTTAATAATACAAAAATAATGACTTTATACGCCTGTAACTTTTAGAATATTGACGATATAAAAAATTCGCCTAAAACTTTTTTGTGGTCCATCAGACAAGCTAAAAAATTGCCATTTGACTTTTTCGTCTAACTTCAATAGTTTAGCTGAAAAAGGCAAAAAACGTAAAATTTTAAATTTAAAGCTCTGTAAAAAATCAAATAATGAAAATAGAAATTCGGCTTAATAAGATTTTTTCGTCCAAGTTTAATGCTTTGTAAGATTTGCTCATGGATTTTATGAAAAAAAAATTTCTTCCTAGGTTGCAAGAATAAATAAGGTAAAAAGGTCAGTTTTCTGTGCTATTTAAGCGGCAAAACTTCAGATTCGATGAGGGACCTCTTAAAATTGAAATTATGAGCTCCGCTTTTAACAGAATATTTGTTCGGACATACTCTACGATATTTTGGGTGGAGAGCAAGAAAAAAACTATTTCGAGTTTTTTTGGCACACCCTAATATATATATATATGTATATAAGGGTGTCCCTTATTTTTATTTTTTTTGCGCATACCCTCTAATTATATTTATTACGTCAGTGTTTCTGTAGTCCACCCTAAGGTCAGGGAAGTGTTGAAGTTGTAGTGACACCTTATGGGTGGTCCAAAAACTCTTAAAATGTAGTGCCACCTGTCATTGGATGCTTTTCACTGGACGGACGGGGGAGGTCGGAGAAGAGGGGGGTGGCCATCCGCAAGGGGAAAAATCTGATAAGTTTTACTTTAAGAGTATGCATGACCTGATACAAATCTGCAATATAAATACGGCAGATCCCAGCAAGCATTTTCCGTTATTTGTCACCATTAACATCGCCCGTATTCATTTCATTAAACATAACATTTATTTTACTTGAAAATGTTAAAATAACTTTAAAATATGATTATGTTAAGAACATATTTTACTCTTTAAACAATTGTTTTGTTTTTAATTACTATCTTTGCAAAATTGTATTAAAAAGTGTTAAAAATTCTTACACGGGCAATGTTAATGGTGATAGGTATCGTTAAAGTGTTTATTGGGATATCTTTAAAACCTATGAAGGGCACGCGGCGTGGGGCAATAAGTCTGTCAACAGCAAATGCGTGGGGCGGTCCCAATCGAGACCGAAAATAAACACTGGACTGACAGAGTAAACTAACATTGATCACATAATTCTAACACATTAAAAAAAAGGGCCTAATAGCCAAACTCGAGATTTGTAAACATTAGACAACAGATTAATCGCGCTTGTGATTTGTTTGACTAGTGAATAAATGCAATGCTTTGGAATTTGATAAACAAAGACGGAACTCTACCACAAAACGTGCTTGGGACAAAAATTATTAAAAACAACTGACACACTTTACCAAGGGCAGGAACTATCTGACCAGGACACGGACAATGACAATAACGAACAAGACAAAGACCTCGACTAGGAACACACCCCTGCAGCGAAACAACAACTCCCCAACTCCAAATAGTAATCCCAAATGTTTGGAGTAATACTAATCGACTGGTCTAGGGGGATTCCGCGTCGTACTTAGTTTTAAGTCGGCGTAATTGTCCCCCAAAAACCAACTCCCTCCCGTCCCTCATCCATACCCCACCGAGCGTATAGCATAGGCTCGGCGAACCCGGGAATGGCTATTATAACTATTCGCCTCTCGCTCTCGAGCCCCAAATAGGGGACAGTACGTAACGCAATGGACATTCGCACCCAGCAAACACGGGTGAAGCCGTGCAGTTGCTGGGGAAGAACAAAAATCGGCGTAAGTAAACATAGGCCTGTACGGGGTTCGAGAGTCAAGAGGAAATGGGGCTGGTTATACGTCTCTTATACTCATACTTCATACTCATACCCTCTAATTATATTTATTACGTGTTTATATACTCCCAGTAAAAATTTCCGATCATTCTATAAACGGGAACCCGTGCCGACTTGCATCTGAACCCTCCGTTAGAGCGCGGTATTTTGTAACACGGTTGGTCGCGTCATTTTGTGTTTGTTATTATGTGACCCTTATACAGGGTGTTCCGAAATTAGTGCACCATACTTTAACAGCAGATTCCACGTGCAAAAATAAGAAAAAAAGTCCCTTTAAATATAGATCGAGAAATGCCTCCTAAGGGAGCTACAGCCCCCGAAAAGGGAGCCCCTGAATATGGTTTTTATATAATATTTATAAAAAAGTAGAAACACCCTGTCACTTACTACATGAAACTGTCACCTGTCTTGAATTATTCTATTTTTTCCTTAATATGGCAGTCGTATTCCAGGACCACGCGAGTCCATTTCTATGGTTGTGATTTAATTGTGAATTTTTATGCCATGTAAAATAATTTTCGAATCGATTTTAAGCGAACGTACAAAAAAAGTTAAGGTGGTTTTAACCCCACTTCCTATCAATCTGACCCAAACCTCATGAAATTTTTTAAATTGTTATTGTTACGTCTTATTGGTCATAAAAAGTTTAATTAATTCCCTAAATTTCACTTTTCTATCTTTAACGGTTTTGGAGATATTAAATAAAAACCATCTTCAGGGGCTTTCCTTTTGGGGGCTGTAGCTCCCTTAAGAGGCATTTCTTGACCTATGTTTATAGTGACTTTTTTTCTTATTTTTGCACGTAGAATCTGCTGTTAAAGTATGGTGCACTAATTTCAGGACACCCTGTATTATAAATTATTGACAAATGTTAAAATATAATTTTATTTATGTGTATACTTTGATAAAGATGTATATTTTCACAGGGAGTGGCTAGTTACCCGGAAGGGTCTGGTGAATAGGCCGTAAACTCTGAAATTGATAAACTTAATGGGTTTTACTCTAAATAACTAAAAGAGTCTATTGTGAGAGATGACTACCGAAAACTTATTGAACTGTCTGAAATATTTTTGGGAGGACATCAAGAAAATAAATGCTTATAAAAAGCTGAAATTTCATATATAACTTCGATTTATATCCTGGAAGCACTAAAACATGTACATAACAACCTACCCAGCTTCCCTAAAAATGGAGACCATGGTTTAAGCACAAGGAACAAGTTGGAGCTAAGAATTCCTTACCACTGCAAATCCTCTACCCAACAATTTGTGGATTATTGGGGCCCAAAACTTTACAATAAGTTACCTGCAAAAATAAAGTTATTAAAACAGAATCTTTACGTTAAACATGTGAAAGATATACTTACTCAAGAAGCCTTCTACACCCTAGAAGAGTTTTTAAGTCATAATTTTCTGTGATAGATTTAAATTATAATTTATACACCTAATGTTTTTTTAATTTTATTATTTGTTTTGTTCTAACTGTGATTCTATGTTTAATATTCTACTTACCTTTTATACTATTTATATACTATTTTATCTATACATATACATTGTACATATAATTATATGTAATGTAATATATTAATAATAAAAGTTGTATAGAGAGCATTAATGCTCTCTATACAACTTGTAATCCTTATCTTTTGTGTGACATGTCATGTATTTCTTTTGATGACAATAAATATTATTATTATTATAACAGTATATTTTAGCAATACTAATTAGTATATTAATATATTTAAGGGATAAAATCAACTAAATTAGTGAAACAAATGATAGAAACAAAAGCAATAACATTAATTAGTAATCATATTTAATAAAATCATTAGAAAAATACAGTCATGAAGTATATCTTTTTTTTAAAGTGTTTCGTGTTACAAAATACCGCGCGCGCCTAACGTTGGCTAACGGAGGGTTTAGATGCAAGTCGGCACGGGTTCCCGTTTATAGAATGAGCTGAAATTTTTACTGGGAGTATATAAACAAGTAATAAATATAATTAGAGGGTATGCGTAAAAAAAATAAAAATAAGGGACACCCTAATATATATATATATGTTTTATATATATATATATATATATATATATATATACTATGTATATTATTATAATAATGCACAAAGCTGCTAATTGCGAAAAATGCGAATATTTTTTTCTGTTGGGTTTAGGTATAGGACGTATATATATAGAAAGAAATTAGAAATACTTATTCTATCCAATTATGTAGAAATATATAGGGGCATAGAAAACACCCTGTATAATATTAAAAAAAAAGAATTAACTTATAGCTTAGTTATTATTAAAGAGATGAATACTAGATGATATAAAAAATAATAAGGCCCGCTTGCCATTATGCTGGTTATTTTTAACTTTTAGCGAATGAGTACATTTAGAGAAGTTTTAATACTGTTACTTAAAAAGTATTAACATTTTCCTAATTAATATATTTACAAAGTATACCTAAAATAGTGTGTAGAATCCAAAAATGCAAAAAAATACAGGGTGTTCCATTAAAAATAAGAAATTTGGTATCATCCCAAGGAAAACCGAACATCTTGTATAAATGAAAATATAATATTTTAAAGATATTTTTTACTTCGTGCCTTACAAAGTTTTTGTGCCTCCAGTAGTTTCTGAGATAAGTATATGGGTTACCTTACGACCACCCTGTACTATATGTATATACAAGTATATACAGTGCTTGCAAATCCAAACCGACCGGGTTGGAAAGGACCAGCGTGAAAAGAACAAGGATAGAACGCCAAACAGAAGACGCTTACAATACGCACGCCTGCCGGCTCTGACCAATCAAATTCTGTTCTATCCTTGTTCTTTTCACGCGGGTATTGAACAACCGTCTTTCCCAACCCGGTCGGACTTGGATTTGCAAGCACTGTATAAGTTACTGGCTAAGGGACATTTTAAGAATCCCCAATCATTTTTCTTATAAATGACCATACATATTATTTTATTTTTTAATTAGCTCCTTCCGGGCCACCAGTGGGATTTGTTGGGTCAGCAAGAAGTTCTTCAGAAATAATAACACAATGGCAACCTCCTTTGGAAGAACACAGAAATGGGCAGATTTTAGGTTATATAATACGCTATCGGTTGTTTGGCTATAACGACAGCCCATGGAATATTCAAAATATAACAAATGAGGTAAACACATGAAAATATTATTACTAATAAATATCTTGACATACGCTGTGCCTACAAAAAATTATATAAAGTTATACAACGTATAGTGGACGACATCCAAATGTAAACGATTTTGGTAGTCATGGATTTTTTAAAAGTTATTAATTCCTGTTAGTCTGGCTGTTCCCTGTGGCGTAGCAAAGAAGGGTAAAATATAAAGAACATAAAATTACTTAAACTTAATTATCGTTATGCCGAATTGACAAAATTTAATGATTAAATGTTTAAAAGAAATTAAATAAAATAACAATTACAATAAAACTTTTTTATTTAAGAATTAAATTAACATGGAAACAAAATGGGAAAAATTATTCCTTAAGTAAAGTAGCTGCTGATTTAAATCTTGGGAAAAGGTGTAAGAATTGTATATAATGAGAATGAAGACCATGATCTCTTTGAACATATCCGTAAAAATCTTTTTGGATACTAATACTTCATTGCAGAACCATTAGCTGCCAAAACACTCTCCAGTCTTCTGGACATAGACATAATATCGCCAATGTCCTAGAAATCAACAAGCTCTTTCCAAGCATTTTTAACAGCGGTTTGCTGGCCTAAAATCCCTACTATATAACTTTTTTGCTATGAAGCCCCATACGTTCTTGATAGGGTTCAAGTCAGGACTTCTTGCTGGACATGGCAAAACATGTGTTGTGGTTGTTGACCCACTTTCGTACTACTTAACCCATACGAGCTGTAGAATTGTCCTGTAATAAAAATTAATGAATATAAATAGTTGTGTGCCGTATTATTTTTTTACATGTTGAAATTAAAGGATTTTGGCGGATATGTTCTATGAGACCATTATCTTCATTCTCATTAGAAACATTTCCTACACCTTGTTTGATAGGTCTTCACATGCGAATGCATTCTATGTTGTTTCTGCAGCTTTAACTAACATTTAAATCAGCAGCCACCTCACTTAAGGACAAATGTTATTTCAATTTTGCTATTGCTCTTGACTTCTGAGCTTCTGTTAGATGCTGCGGCATTTTTGTTTAATAAATTAACAGCTATTTTATAATAATAATAAAATAGCTGTCAATTGGACGTCCAAATTAAACCATAACTCGTTGCCGATTACATTTGGATGTCGTCAACTGTACATTGTATAACTTTATATAATTTATTATTGTAGGCACAGAGAAATTATTTAATACAAGATCTAATAACATGGAAAGACTATATTGTGCAAATAGCCGCTTATAATAATAAAGGTGTTGGTGTTTATACCGATGGGGCTAAAATTAAAACAAAAGAAGGTGTGCCAGAGGCTCCACCAGTTATACGAAATATTGAATCTTTAACATCCACATCTGTTAAAATTTGGTGGATACCTCCGGATCCACAAAAAATTAATGGCATTAACCAAGGATATAAAATACAGGCTTGGCAGTATGATTCGAATAAAGGGAACTTGGAAACTAATATGATGACTGTGCACCCCAATTTGCTGGACCCATATGCAGAACAAAGTGCTATAATGGATAATCTTAAAAAATTTACAAAATATAATTTAACTGTACTATGTTTTACTGATCCAGGAGATGGAGAGAGGAGTGAGCCAATGTATATTAAAACTTTAGAAGATGGTAAATATTAATAGTAACAAATAAATTATTGGATACATTATGTTCCTTAATTTTTAGTTCCTGATGAGGTTGAAAGTCTTCAATTTAATGATATAAGTGATAGAGCTATAAAAGTTTTATGGAAACCACCTAAACAAGTTAATGGAGTATTGACAGGTTATCAAATTAAATGGCAAATCAAAGATAAGCAAGAAACAAAAAGAGTCAGAAACTTAACAGCTGAAACACAAAGTTTAGACATTACTGATCTTCAGGCTACAACACATTATAGATTTGAAGTAATTGCAATGACAACAGTTGGATTAGGAATGGCAAAATTGGCTATAATTCAGTCAGGTGTGGAGCCTGTCTTACCAAGTCCTCCTTCTAAACTGGCTCTTTCTAACATAGAAGCTTTTTCTGTTGTATTACAATTTACCCCCGGTTTCGATGGAAATTCTTCTATTATAAAATGGTCTGTAGAGGCTCAAACTGCTCGAAATACGACGTGGTTTGTTGTTTTTGAAAAAAAGGATCCTGATGCAACAACTATTACAGTAGCAGGCTTAGTACCTTTTACCCTTTACAAATTACGACTTATTGCCAATAATGTTGTTGGACCTTCTGGGGCTTCAGAACCTACAAAAGAATTCCAAACTATTCAAGCACCACCTGCGCATCCTCCGAAAAATGTGACAGTACGAGCTATGAGCGCTACAGAATTGCGTGTTAGATGGATTGTAAGTATTGTTTTAAAAATTGTTTTTTACGATTATAAAATTAAAATCCCCAATAATTCAAAACATGAATTCTATTAAAATTTTTGTTTTATTAAGCCTCTTCAACAAATGGAATGGTTTGGTAACCCAAAAGGATATAACATAATCTACATTGAAATAAGAACTGGCATTATGCAAAGTGCCACTATTGAAGATCATACAGCAAATTCACACGTTATTATAAGTTTGGAAGAATTTGCTTTGTACCAAGTCACAATGAAGGCATGTAATGATGTAGGTTGTTCATCTCCAGGGCCAGAAGCTTTAGAAAGAACAAGAGAATCGGGTTAGTAGTGCGGTTTTATTTTAAACAGTAAACATTACCCACTAGCATTAATGATCATACTTTATTTATTTTATTACAATGTATTTATTTTAGTACCTTCATTTGGACCATTAAACATAGAAGCAAACGCGACTTCATCCACTACAATTGTGGTAAAATGGGGTGATGTACCTAGAGAACACCAAAATGGTCTTATAGAAGGTTTTAAAGTGTGTTATGTAGCTGCGGATCCAAAATCTCCCTTGGAATATAAAGTTATACCAAATAATTCAACATTTACAACAACGTTGACAGAGTTAAGAAAATTTGTGGTATATCATGTTCAAGTTTTGGCTTACACTAGATTGGGAGATGGTGAAGCTAGCAAACCTCCTGTAGTAGTAAGAACGTTTGATGATGGTAAACTTTGTTAAATATAAAAAACAATAATTTAATTTATTAAATCTTTAGTACCGGGTGCTCCAAGTAATGTTTCATTTCCCGATGTTTCCTTTACATCGGCAAGAGTAATATGGGATGAACCCGATGAACCCAATGGAGAAATTTTAGCTTACAAAGTCACTTATCATATTAACAACTTGGCAACAAATAACAAATATTCCAAAGAGTTTCCTCCTTCGGACCGGACTTTTAGGTAGGAAATACGGTTTATTTATTTTAATAATAATTAAGTTTGCAATACATTTTAGATTTACTCAGCTCGAGCCCGAAAAATATTATATGTTTTCGGTGACTGCTCAGACGAAAATAGGTTGGGGAAGAACAGGTCATGCTTTGGTATATACTTCCAATAATCGGGAACCCCCACAACCTCCTTCAATGCCTCAAATAAGCAGAAGCCAGATTCAAAGTAAACATATTACGTTTAGTTGGACACCTGGTAGAGATGGATTTGCACCACTTAGATATTATACAGTACAAAAAATGGAAAGCAATGGCCCGTGGCAATCAGTGCCTGAAAGAGTAGATCCACAAGCTACTTCCTACACTGTGTCTGGATTAAAACCATTTACTTCTTACCGATTTAGAATACAGGCTACCAATGATATAGGACCCAGTAGATTTAGTTCTGAATCTATAGAAGTTCGAACTTATCCAGCAGGTAAAAGCCAATGTTTAATATACTAACTAGATTTAAACAAAATTGTTTTAGCACCAAGTAAACCAGTTACAAACTTAAAGGTTGTTCCAATAACCACAACAAGTGTTGAGGTTTATTGGACTTCAATAGAACAACAATTTTGGAGTGGAGATGTTAAAACGGGTGGTTATAGAGTCATTTTCCAACCAGTATCGGATTTTCCTACCGCACTTAAAGCCACACCCAAAGAAGAAATTATGGGAATTAATGTAAAATTAAAGAATAACTTTATTTGATTTTTAAAATAATTTAATTTAATTTTTAGAAAAATAAAATAGTTTTAAGTGAACTTATGCAAGATGAAAACTATGAAATAGTAGTAGCTCCTTTTAATTCTCAAGGAGAGGGTCCAGCTAGTACTCCAGTTACTGTTTATGTTGGCGAGGCGGTACCGACTGGTGAACCAAGACATCTTCTAGCGGAACCCGTTTCATCAACAGAAGTAAAATTAAGATGGAAGGCACCTCAAACGCAAATGCAAAATGGAGAATTATTGGGATATAAGGTAATTAAAACCATTTAAAGAAAATTTGTTTTTTAAGAAATCCTAATATTATTGTTTAAAAAAACGGCTTTACACGCAATTGCTGCACCCTGCATATTATGGTTATGGTTATATTATTTTTCTATAATTCTGAGACAGTATTGCATTGAAATAATTGGCAGCATTAAAATAGTAAACAAGATCATTGTCAGATTAAACCCAATTATTTGATAATAGTTAAACAACTTTTGATATTTTATCCTATGGCCTATATATATAAATTTAGAAAACTTCATCTCTAAACCCCTATACTTTTGTTTGCTAGGGCACAAATGTTGAATCCTTATATAAATTGAGGTGGAAACAAGTACTGGAACAAAAAATTGTCAATCACTACTTAAATTGCAAATATTGATGCACACTAACCCAGTATGAATATATTGCTTTTATAAGGTACTTTATATAATTGGCCGTATATCGGCAATAACGTGGCGTATTTTGGCTTTCAAGTTGTCTAACTTCTGTGTTTTATCAGAGTGGAGTAGCTATTTTACCACAGAAGAACATCCATCTATTGATTGTAATTTTCTTATCGGTATAATCTTTAAATATTTATGGGCCAATAATTCCACCAGCCCATAAAGCACACCTATCAGTGTATTTTTGTCGCGCCGCGACGCAGTCTCTCAATAATGGCTTCTGGATTGTTTCCACTCCAAATCCGTAAACTTTGTTTCTACATACCCAACCATTTAACCCAAGCAGATCTTCATCTCCATTATCCAATAAAGCCCCAATACTGTGGTTATTACCATAATTTTTATCTTTATTATTTCATTAAGACAGTCTAGCTTATGCTATGTATTCTTTAAATCAAACATAAAAACTTTATTTTCCGTGAAGACGGCAGTGGTAGGAATACATACATTTCTTTTTATGGGTTAATGCAACTTCTTTCCTAAATTAATATTAATATACCTACTTAAAATATTTATAAATAAGAAATACTAAATTAGGTTTGTTGTTTAATCTCCTAATTTTAGATTTTTTATTTGGTAACAAACTCTCCACAAGAACTAGATGAAGGTAAAAAATATGAAGAAGAAATTGAGGTAGTGGCTGCTACAACTACCATCCATAGTTTAGTGTTTTTAGATAAATACACTGAATATCGAATACAAATTTTGGCATTTAACCCAGCTGGAGATGGGCCTAGGTCTATTCCCATAATTGTAAAAACCTTACAAGGTTTACCTGGTGCACCAGTAAATTTACGATTTAATGAAATAACTATGAATAGTCTTGTTGTTACCTGGGACCCACCAAAAAAAAAAAATGGTGATATAATTGGATATATAGTAACATATGAAACAACAGAAGAAAATGAAAGTAAGTACTTACACAACCTCGTGAAAAAGTAAACAAGGTTTTCCTATTTCGCTAAACCAAATATGAATGTTTGTCTTGATTTCTTTACAAGCAAAAAAAATAATATTCTGAAATATTTTTCTAAATTTGAGACCTAAGAAAACCTATCTTTTTACAATAAAGAAATGTTTTTTCTGAAGAAGTCACTGTGTGCCGAAACAATTGTCAAAAATGAAATAAATCATAGTTGTTTTTATACCTACATAATATATTAAAGAAATACGATTCAACAAATGTAGTGATGCAACGGTTTCGGGTTTTACGGTTACGGTTAGTTCTACGGTTACGAATAAATTCACGGTTATTCAAAAAAGATTACAGAATTACGTTCAGTAAAGGTTAAATAATAATTTATGTAAAACAAAAACAGAATTTCTAATAAAACTATAAAACAAAAGGAAATGACTAACATTTTAAACCTAAAAACAGTAAAGTAAAACCTAAGTAGGTACCTGAATAATATACATTAAAAAATATTTAAAATATTTAAAAAAATAAAAAAATTAAAAGTTAATATTCAAAATTTACGAGTAAAATTTTTATTTAACAAACATAACATATGCAAATTCTGCGGAATCAGCCTGTTCCTATTGGGTGTTTGCACAAGACCTGCAGTCGAAAACAACCTCTCCGAATTTACTGACAATGGTTTGTATAATAAATACCTTAGTGCCAACACTGTTAAACGCCGAAACGTGTAACACATTTTCCAGAATGTAAACGGATTTAACTTATGTGGTATATTTGGTAACGTTAAATACTCTTCAATCTTCTTTTTACATGCATTCACAAAGTAACATGAAAAACCGTAAATGCCGTATACGGTTACGGTTAACCGTATAATATCGAAAACCGTGAATTAACCGTAACCGTTGCAACTCAAAACAAATGCCTAATATTTGTTGGGAAAAGTTTGAGACTAGATCTCGTTCTACAAGGTGTCCCTAAACTTATTGGCATAAATTTAGGTAAAGATTAAGCAAGTCAAAATAAGACGAAAACCTAAATAAATATTTTTCCTAATTACTTATGTTTCCAAGATACAGGGTGATAAAGTGTTACTTATCATATCAGTTTTTTTGATATAACTTCTACTATGGTAGTCTTGGAAAGGTGAGATTTTGCGAACAGTCACTTACTACCAAAACACATATTCACACATAATTAGAATTGTTTGAGTGAACACAGTGTCGTAGAAACGGGGGTTGCTTTAAGCTTATTGTCCCATACAAACTTTGAGGTTAGGTTTTTATAACATTTAATGCAATTTTTCGATCACTCAGTTCGGCTACTATTAAAAAGGTGTACCTCTCAAACTTCGATAAAATAAACCGTTTCCGAGATATTCGAGATTACAATAAATGTTAAATCGCATTATTTAAAAGGATTAAAAGGTACATGATAACAAATTTTATTTTTTAATTGAAAAAACTAAAAAGGGCATTTTATGAGACTCGGGATTTTTTGCGCTGACCGTCACATTAAAAAAAATTGTAGTTTTTTCAATTAAAAAATTTGTTATCATATACCTTTTAGTCCATTAATGCGATATAACAATTATTGTTATCTCGAATATCTCGGAAACGGTTTATTTTATCAAAGTTTGAGAGGTACACCTTTTTATTAGTAGCCAAACTGAGTAATCGAAAAATTGCATCTAATGCTATAAAAGCCTACGACACTGCCCTCACTCGAACAATCGTAATTATGTGTGAATATGTGTTTTGGTAGTAAGTGACTGTTCGCAAAATATCACCTTTCCAAGTCTACCATAGTAGAAGTTATATTAAAAAAACTGACATGATAAGTAACACTTTATCACCCTGTACCTTTTAAACAAACGCAATTAGGAAAAATATTTATTTAGATTTTCGTCTTATTTTGACTTGCTTAATCAGCTCCTAAATATATATATATATATATATATTAGGGTGAGCCAAAAAAACTAACCTATCGGATTTATGGGTTAAAATGAACCTACATACCGAGCAAAAAATTTCCCTGCAAGGCAAAATTTTTTGCTCAATTTTAAAAGGTGTCGGTGAGCATTCTAAGTTTTCCATTGAAATAACACGTAAAAAAATCTTTTTTCATTAAAAAGACTATAACTTTTGAACCGTTTGAGATAAAATTTTTTACGTCGCGGATTCTTGTAGAGCATAAAATTTCCCAAAGAATCTATACCATGTTTATTTTTTTTAATTCAAAAATTCGTATGTTTGAAAGCTTTGAAAAGTGTAAAAATCACTAAAACTGCAGTTTGTAGTGATTTTTTACACTTTTCAAAGCTTTCAAACATACGAATTTTTGAATTAAAAAAAATAATCCTGGTATAGATTCTTTGGGAAATTTTATGCTCTACAAGAATCCGCGACGTAAAAATTTTTATCTCAAACGGTTCAAAAGTTATAGTCTTTTTAATGAAAAAAGATTTTTTTACGTGTTATTTCAATGGAAAACTCACCGACACCTTTTAAAATTGAGCAAAAAATTTTGCCTTGCAGGGAATTTTTTTGCTCGGTATGTAGGTTCATTTTAACCCATAAATCCGATAGGTTAGTTTTTTTGGCTCACCCTAATATGTATATATATATAATATATATATATATTATATATATACTGCGAGGAACTCACTTATGGAATAAAATTCGTTATTCGTTGAGAAAAGATTTTTATGAAAAACGCTCGGACACGTAAACTTTAGTTTTTTATTCCAAATCTTATAATGATAATTTTAAATTGTATGCCCCCACCATTTTCCCCCCCGCACATTAGGCACCCTTATCTTAAATAACAACCCCACTTTTTTCATTGAAAATTGATAGTGCACATTTTTTTGAGTACGACGATACCACATAAGTAGGGTTTAGTAACCATAATTTTCAATACAGGGTGAATATTTAAAAATTACAAGTATGCAATTTTTATTGTTATTCTATGATTTAGTTCCTTGTGTTGTGGCTTTCGCTATTTAGATATTCATGTTTTTTCGCTTTGTTATTGTTTTTTGTTAATGCCATTTTTTGCGTTTGTCCTTTTTGCATTGTTTACATTTTTTGCATTGTTTAAATTTTTATTATTAATGAAACATTTTGCGCTTTACTTATTGAAGTATTTCGTTAGATCCAAGTATCAGTTAATATTTTAGTTAAAAAATGCCAGAAACTCTGCGAATAGAAATATTAATGATGATTGGTTACGGTGATATGTGCTGATCACAACAGCAAGTTGCAAACCTTTTTAATGGAAAATACCCAGATTTACCACCACTTTCTCAGGCAACTGTGTCTAAAATACATGCACAATTTCGTGAATATGGACATGTTAAACCATTACGCAGGACGCCACATTTTATTGATGAAAATGTGAAAGTTAATATTTTATTAGCTTTTCAAGAAAATCCAACAACTTCTACGCGTCAGGTTGCACGTGAAAACGACGTTAGTCATTAGACCGTTTTAAGATGTGTAAAAGCCGAATAAATGAATTCACGTACGGTATACCAAACTAGATTCTGGTTACCTAGTAACTTTTGCTGTGTGATGCGTACTTTGAACACCCGCGCATTTTTAATTTTCTTCGCCTCAGAATCTGCGGTGTGAGAACCAAAAGGGTCTCGGAATTTGATATATAAAAATGACTCCGCTCCTTGATAAGTTTTGCCCATTTTTTTAAGAATTGTATGGAAAGCTTGGTGAATGTGTCAGTTTTTTTGAAATACCAGGCCACTTAAATTTAAGTTCCAGTTTTGGAAAAGCAGTTTTTCAAGCTAATAAAAAACCCCAAGTTAGTTTGGGCTACCGTAAGTGAATTGACTTTATGTATGTATGAGTAAAAAAAATCCTTAATTTTATTAAAAATTAAAAAAAATTAAAATTAATTATTAAAAATTAATATTTTCACATTTGCACTTTTTTGTGATCACCAAAGCAGGCAGAACATTGTATGCAAATTCCAAAGTGGACCGTTAAATGTTCTTTATAATAATATTAATAAAAATTTATTTCTGCTAAATACCTCAGAGGCTTACATCATCAAATACATTAAAATAAGTTACATCTTATAAAATGTTTTTTATAAACAATATATAACAAAACCCACTATGAAAAGTTGTCGATAAATAAAATAGATTATGATAAATTTAAAATTAAAAAACTCATCAAAGTCATAAAAACATTGTTTTTAAGTATGAAGATTACTTTTTGTTTAAGTCTTCTTACCTTTCCGGGGCCTACTAAATGTTGCTATTAGTTTATTTTTATTTCCAGTGTTGTGGCTATGCCGTGTTACATGAGAATCATACAAACCCATATTAATTTTAATATACAAAAGGTGTTTTAAGATAAACATGCTGGGGAAGGTCAAAACTCTTAGCGCCATGAAGGCCTCCCTACAGTCACCTCGGTACCCAAGTCCGGCGATGATCCTAATAACTTTTCTTTAAAGCAAAAACACTTTATAAGCTTCTGCTGCATTACCCCATAATATGGGGCCCATATTAATATCTAATTTCTAATTAAAAAGATTTGAAGAAAGCCTTTTCCATATTTTATTAATATAGGTATCCCACTTTATTTTAGAGTCCTAAGAATTTCACTGCACCCTGAAGAACAATGTCATGCTTTCTCAATGAGAACACAACTACATTAAATGTTTTTTTTTAATTTTGTTTTATCCTTAAAAATAATAAATTATTTCGAGTCACGTTCGAGAGCTCGTCAAAGTTAGTCGCATCTTGCCGTCGCGCTCTTGAAACTTACAAACAGCAATGCTCGCGACTCGCGTGCGGGTGAGCTCTTGAAACGTAAAAGTTTAAAGTTGAAACCAACAATAATAAAAAAAAGGGGTGCGAACTGATAAGTGAAACAAACATTTTCATGGAGTGCAAGCTAAAATGGTGTAACGGTCATTGAGGAGTGGAGTGTTGGGTGATATGAATGACTTGGGTGCCACCTGTCATT